AGAGCGACTTACAGTTAGTGAATACATATATATATTTTGTTTTATACTGGCCCCCTGTGGGAATCGAACCCACAACCCTGGCGTTGCAAACGCCATGCTCTATCAACTGAGCTACATCCCTGCCGGCCATTCCCTCCCCTACCATGGACGACGCTGGGCCAATTGTGCGCCGCCCATGAGTCTCCCGGTCGCGGCCGGCTGCGACAGAGCCTGGATTCGAACCAGGATCTCTAGTGGCACAGTTAGCACTGCGATGCAGTGCCTTAGACCACTGCGCCATTCAGGAGACAGTAATCAGCTGTCTCCTTTCCGTACACAGGCAGTAATCAGCTGTCTCCTATCTGTACACAGGCAGCAATCAGCTGTCTCCTTTCCGTACACAGGGAGTAATCAGCTGTCTCCTATCTGCACACAGGCAGTAATCAGCTGTCTCCTATCTGTACACAGGCAGTAATCAGCTGTCTCCTTTCTGTACACAGGCAGTAATCAGCTGTCTCCTTTCTGAACACAGGCAGTATCAGCTGTCTCCTATCTGTAAACAGGCAGTAATCAACTGTCTCCTTTCCGTACACAGGCAGTAATCAACTGTTTCCTATCCATACACAGGCAGTAATCAGCTGTCTCCTATCTGCACAAAAGCAGTAATCAGCTGTCTCCTATCTGTACACAGGAAGTAATCAACTGGCTCATGTCTCTACACGGGCATTAATCAGCTGTCTCCTATTCATACACAGGCAGTAATCAGCTGTCTCCTATCTCTACACAGGCAGTAATCAGCTGTCTCCTATCTCTACACAGGCAGTAATCAGCTGTCTCCTATCTGTACACAGGCAGTAATCAGCTGTCTCCTTTCAGTACATAGGCAGTAATCAGCTGTCTCCTATCTCTACACAGGCAGTAATCAGCTGTCTCCTATCTCTACACAGGCAGTAATCAGCTGTCTCCTTTCTGTACACAGGCAGTAATCAGCTGTCTCCTATCTGTACACAGGCAGTAATCAGCTGTCTCCTATCTGTACACAGGCAGT